TCATGGCGAGGAGTTCTCGGTTTCCCACATCGTAGTTCCGTTCAGCGGAGTTGAGCTTGCGAGAATAGAAGGCACAGGGATGGAGCTTCTTCGTAACTAGTGATCTCTGGGACAGGATGGCTCCAATTCCAGTGTTGGATGCGTCAATTTCAACTACAAAGGGTTGCTCGGGATCAGGATGACGCAGAATGGGTGCACTGGAGAAGCGGGTTTTGAGCTGAGTAAACGCTCGAACAGCGTCTGGGTTCCATTTGAGGCGAGCGTTATTAGCTTTTACCATGGCGGTAAGTGGAGCAGCGACTGAACTGAAGTTTCTTATGAAGCGCCTGTAGAAGTTAGCAAAGCCCAGGAATCGTTGCAGTTGTCTTAGGGTTTCGGGTTGTGGCCATTGTGTCACGGAGTCGACCTTTTGCTGGTCCATGGCCACGCCTTCGGGACTGATGATGTAACCCAAGAACGAAATACAGGTCTGATGGAATTCGCACTTGGAGATCTTTGCATATAGCTGGTTTTGAATGAGGCGTTCGAGCACTGCCCTGACGTGCTGAATATGCTCAGATAGCGAATTTGAGTAGACCAGGATGTCGTCAATATACACTATGACCCATTTGTTGAGCATGTCTCTAAATACCTCATTTACAAAAGCCTGGAACACGGAAGGACTGTTTGCTAGGCCGAAGGGCATAACGAGGTATTCATAGTGGCCGTCGATTGTAGAGAACCCGGTTTTCCACTCGTCTCCCTGTCGTATGCGGATGAGGTTATATGCACTACGGAGGTCCAACTTAGTGAAATACTGGGCGGATCGGAGTTGCTCAAGGGCGGCTGGAACCAATGGCAAGGGGTAGCGGTATTTGACTGTGATCTCATTTAAGCCTCGGTAATCAATGCATGGGAGTAAGCTGCCATCCTTCTTCTTGACGAAGAAAAAGCCTGCTGAAGCGGGTGAGGTAGATGGTCGGATAAAGCCCTTTTCCAGCTCCTCAGAGATGTAATTCTTCATAGCTTCAGTTTCAGGTTGAGAGAGGGGGAAAATGCGACCACGAGGGGGCGTGGTGCCTGGTAGTAGTTCGATGGCAGTCATTTTCACGATGTGGAGGGAGCTTGGTAGCCTTCTGTTTATTAAATGCCTCAGTTAAATCATGATAAGCATCAGGAACATGACAGAGTTCAGGGTCTTCGGTGTTGGTAATTGTGTTGATCTGGACAGGGGAAACAGAATGCAGACATTGGGTAAAGCATTGATTGCTCCATTTTGTGATCTCACCAGTTCTCCAGGAAACTTGAGGGTCATGTTGTTGTAGCCATGGTAACCCAAGAATTACAGAGTGCTTGGGGGAGTCGATGGCAAGAAGGGAAATCTCCTCTTCATGGAGAGAGCCTGTTTGAAGAGAGATTGGTTGAGTCTGGAATTTTATGTGTCCCTCTCCCAAAGGGCGCCCGTCTACAGCAGTGATGGCTATGGAGGAATCACAGGAGGTTAAAGGAATGGAGTGAGTGGTGGCAAACGTGTAATCAATAAAGTTGCCAGCGGCTCCTGAATCGATCATGGCCATAGTCTCAATTTCATCTCCATTGTTTCTCAGAATGACAGGCAAATTCATAACATTATTAGTGGTAGTGAACATAGTGGTTGCACTCACCGAGAGGGTTTTAGGGAGAGGCTTGTTGGGACATAAAACCTTCGTATGACCTGGAAGTCCGCAATAAATGCACAGGTGATTTCTTCTCCGTCGTTCTTGCTCCTCTGGGTTCAGGCGGGTTCTACCCAATTGCATGGGTTCAGCGGAGGTCTCAGGGGATACAGGACTGGAAGCAATTGATCACAGTGGATTGCGAGTGCGGAGGAGAGTGTCTAACCTTATGGAAAGTTCGATTAGTTGATCCAGTGTTTTTCCCTCGTCACGACATGCCATCTCTTTCTGCAATTCTGGTCTTAAAGCTTTTCTGTAGAGCGTGGTAAGCGGATCATCAGCCCAGCCAGCTGCGGAGCGATCTCCCTGTTGGATGCACAGTAGCTCCTCGCCAGCGTTACAACCACCCTCCGGATGATCAAACACAGTGCAGAAACGTTTGAGAAAGTCATTAAACGAGGGAAATATCGGGGTACTGTCTGGCCAAACTGCAGTAGCCCAGTCTAGCGCTTTCCCAGTGAGCAGTGAGCACACAAAAGCAATTTTCCCATTCTCGTCCTTAAACAGATGGGGCTGTTGGGCGATAAACAGTTTACATTGCAGTAGGAAGCCTTTACATTTTGCTGGGTTACCTGAGAACTTGTCAGGGAATGCCAATCGAACTCCGGGAGTCATCGGGGGTTGTGCAACAACAAGTGGACTTGGAGAGTAGTTGGCGGTGGGTTGCGCAGTGGCAGCAGCTTGCAGGTTTTGTAGGGATTTCACCAGTTCGTCTGTTAACTGAGTTAGATGTGTTAGTTGTTGTTGGTGTGTGGACAATACCTGAGCTTGTGTTGTGACTTCGTGAGACAAAACCTGGATGGCTGCGGGATCAGTGTTGGGCGAAGTCTTCTGTAACGGGGAGACTGACACGGAGGGATCCATTTTGCAGTATTTATTAAGTCACACTTAAACATCAACAACACGCACGGCTGTGCGGACATACAACATACACATCAAAGGAGACTTAGCAGATAACAGACGCAGTGTGATTACCAGGCTTGGGTCAGAGGCAGGCAGCGTGATTCAGAGTCCGTGTAACAGGCTTTGGTCAGGGGCAGGCAGCGAGAATCAGAGTCCGAGGAAACAGGCTTTGGTCGAGGGCAGGCAGAAGACAGAGCAGAGTCGTGAAACGGGCTGAAGTGGTAAACGGGACATCAGGCAGGATAGAACGCTCAGAAATGCTGGCCGGGGCTAAACAAGACTTCGCACTGAAGTGTGTGTGTGAGCTGCTTATATGTGGTACGTGGGTCATTAGTGGAATGGAGAACAGGAGTGCAGGGATCAGGTGAAATGGATGACGTAATGGTTAGAAGTCCGGAGATGGTGACCTCTGCTGGTCAGCGAGGGGAATGACTGGGACCGAGTCGGTGACACAATTATTAATGAGTGATACTGACTGTATATTTGTTTGCTTCTTTTAATTTTTAAATGCATAATTCCAAGCTGTTTATAACTTCAAAAAAAAAAAAAAACTTCTTGTCAACACTGTATGAGGTTCTCAAAACAATATTCATGAACCCTTTAACATCATATAAAGCACAAAAATAGACTTAACTGCCCAAACATCTTTCTACAACATGTGGCACGAAGAGCAAAACAAGCCAGAACATCTTTAGAATGATGAGCTAATTAAAGACTAATAATGAGGGCCTGATTGGTGTTACTGTTGACCTCACATTCCATATGCGATCCAGAAGTCTTTTCATCATTGGATTATAGCTGAGCTCACTGTCCAAATCATAAAACATCAAAACGCTGAGCACATGCAGACAGCAGCTGTAACGTACATTCTTTAAATAAGCCATACTGGCACAGAATTACAGATAATCCAGGTTTTAGGAGGGTCATTTCTCATTCTAGTACATTTTCACGATCTCATTTAATGTCTTAATATATTGGATAAAATGTTAAAGCCGCAATTGTGAAATATGGAAATCATTTAATTTTTCATTATCACAGTAAGATGATTACGTTTGAACATTTTTTGGTTCAAAGGTTACAAATGAAGAATAATCTGTAATATTTCGTAACAATTATTAATTTGCAATTGCAATTTCCTTTGTATATTAAGCATTTCTTCGTAGAGGTGTGAACATTGGCCTCACAGTTCGGTTCAGTTCAGTTCAGTTATGATTATCATGCCATCTCTTCAGTTCAATTTGATATCTCGGTGCATCATGGTGCATTAACGATGACACAAATGGATATTTTACTTCACAGAACATGAATTCTTGCATTAAAATAATTTTTTTAATATATTTTTATACACTGCAAAACCCAACAGTCAACTTTATGAAATGAAATAAGTGTAGTTAACTCAGAATTGACTGAAAGTTAATTCTACTAATTTGATAAGAGTTTTGAACTCAGTGTTGAAGGTAATGAGTTAATTAAATACCTCATTACTTCAACTTAAATGGAGTAAGTTCACAGTACTCATATAAATTCGTTTTTTAACTCCAATGGTTTGTTGCAATCGGTTTCCTCAAACAGTTTGAGTTGCCTTAACTTATTGAGTTTTACAGTACTCAGTTGGTTTGAGTTCTCCTCATTTATTGTGTTTTACTGTGCTTAAATTGTTTTGTTTACTCAAATGGAATGAGCAATCGATTTCCTCAAATGGTTTGAGTTACATTAACTTTTTTGGTTTTACAGTGTACACATTTTTAGTATTTAATTTTTTTGTATTGTTTTCTGAAATGATCTTGGGAATATTTTGATGTACTAATTATTTCAAAGGGTTCTTGGATTCAATTCATTTGTTATCCACTGAGAAACTTGCACTTGTTAACAATAGCATTAAAACATTTCTTATGTTTTCCCTCCATAACATCTCTTAAAATTTTGCTTGCAATTTTTTTTTGTGAATGAACACAGAAAACCTGATAATTTTTTTCTCCTATCTCATGTTTTTTTTTTCATTTCCAGTTTTGCTTAAAGTTTTTTCTACTCTAAAACAAAACAAAAAATCTTATTCAATTTCTTTTCACCACAGCGGTGTGTTCACTTATAAATTGAAAACAAATCACTTATAAACTGGATAAATTGTATGTTAATGATAAAATCATGGTTAAAATTTGATGTATTTTCATACTGTTTGGTTGCATCATCTTTATTTTTTTCTATTGTACAAATAATCAAGTCATCATTAATAAAGCTGAGTTTAAGCAGAACATATTACTTCAACTCTGGTTTACCCTTTTATAGGAATATGCCCTTAAAGGCATAAGTATCTTGTTCATTCAAAAGGCAAAACATAACAGCACATTAGAGTAAGATTTATGTTCATAAATGACTGTTTGTTTTTTCTCTAACATTCTCTAGGTGTAACTTATAAGCAATGACGTCAAATGTTGACCCATGAACAAAAACGGGCACAGCCACGCGATGCATTTCTGTCCCGTGAGAAGTTTTATAGACCACACAGGATCCGTCAGAACAACAGGCTCAATGGCATGGAACTCCGTACTGAAACAAAGACTGCAGCTCCAGGTCACAAACCAGACAGGAGTCCCCGCTCCTAAAACATTTCCAATACATCAACATGGATCATCCTCTCCAAACACTGGTGCCTATAGTAACGGCATGCTTCAGGGGAAGGTCTTAAAAGACTCGAGAAACCCCTCGGAAATAAATTCCAGGAAGTCATTCGCAGCCAAAAAAGCTCTGCTCATAGGTAACTCATTGTCTAATTATCTCATCTAAAATGTGCATAAAATTATAAATATGAAATATAATGTACACAGTAGATTATATTATACTCATAACAGGTTAAATTGCAGATGAAATTGAAGATGGAAAATGTGGATAAAAATATGTTCCAGATGGACACTTCTACACTTTGAATTTTTACCGGAAATAGTAAACCATCCAGGAACCTTGGCATACTCTGTTTAACATACTATGGTTTAAGACATATTAGTTCTATTTTAAATACTATTTAGGATGGAAAGTGTGCAAATTAAGACAGAGCAACAGCCAAGGAATTGAAGAAAATGAGAGTATATAAATACATGGATAACTAAACAAGACAAAGGTGAACACAATCAATGAAACAAGTAGTAGCCAAGGGAATAAACTAAAAATGGGAACAAATGGAACAGCATGTAATATAGGTCAAATAACAAAGGGCAAACTAAATGTTGATTATTCATTCATTTTAGTCCCTAATTTATCAGAGGGTCACCACGGCAGAATGAACTGCCAACTATTCTGGCATATGTTTTACACAGCATTATATTATATTATATTATATTATATTATATTATATTATATTATATTATTCACAGCAAGGTCAGGTTATTAGATTATGATCTAAATGCAGAAATAACTTCTTTTACATAAATTAATAAATGAAAATAAGATGGATTCATCAACAGCTATGCAAAAATCAAAAGACCAAAATAAAACTCCAATTCACTCACTCATTTTCATTCACTCTTCAAGTAGACTACATTAGTGGACTAATGTAGAGAATAGTGTGTTAGAGTATAAGGGTTGATTTCAGATATTGTCAAAGAATTGATGGACATAAGGGAATATAAACACATGGGTAAATAAACAAGACACAGGTGAACACAATCAATGAAACAAGGAGTAGCCGAAATAAAATGGAAGCAAGTGGAACCAGACGAACTCAAACAAAACTGCAATTTATTCAATTATTTTCATTCCCTCTATTAATTAGACCACATTAGTAGACTAATGTATGGTATAGTGAGAAAATATATAGGAGTGATTTTAGATACAGTCAAAGAATTGATGGACATGAGGGGATATAAACACATGGGTATGTATTGAGCAATATATTGTGGGCAATATTAGCGGTTAGAGTATGGATGCTTCTACGCTTCGAATTTTAACTGGAAATAGAAAACCATCCAGGAACCTTGGCATACTTTTTTTTTACATACTATGGTTTGGGACATAATAATTCTATTTTCGAATACTATTTAGGATGGATAGTATGGAAATTGAGACAGAACAACAGCCAAAGAATAGAAGGAAATGAGGGGGTATAAACAGATGGATAATAAATAAGACACAGGTAAACACAATTAATGAAACAAGTAGTAGCCAAGGTATCAATTAAAAAATGGGAACAAATGGAATAGCATTTAATATAGTTCAAATAACAAAGGGCATACTAAATGTCCATTATTCATTCATATGTTTTACACAGCAGATGCCTTTTCAACCACAACCCAGTACTGGAAAAAAAAATTATTATATTATATTATATTATATTATATTATATTATATTATATTATATTTTATTATATTAAATTATATTATATTATATTCACAGCAAGGTCAGGATAAGGGAGTAGGATCTAAATGCAGAAATACCTTATTTTACATAAATTAATATATAAAAATAAGACCAGCAAAGCAAAAGCCAAAAGACCAAAACAAAACCCAATTTGTTTCACTCACTCATTTTCATTCACTATTAGGGTGTGAGAGTATAAGGGTTGATATCAGATATAGCCAAATAATTCAAGGACATAAGGGATATAAACACATGGGTTACTAAACAAGACACAGGTGAACACAATCAATGAAACAACGAGTAGCCGAAATAAAATGGGAGCGAATGGAACCAAACAGACTCAAACAAAACTCCAATTCATTCAATCATTTTCATTTAACACATGGGTAACCAAACAAGACACAGGTGAACACAATCAATGAAACAAGTAGTAGCCAAGGGAATAAACTAAAAGTAGGAACAAATGGAACAGCATGTAAAATAGGTCAAAATAACAAAGGGCAAACTAAATGTCCATCATTCATTAATTTTTCTTCAGTTAAGGGGTCGTCAAAGTGGAATCAACCACCAACTATTCCGGCTTAAGTTTAACACAACGGATGCCTGCCAGCCAAAACCCAATACTGGAAAAAATGTCTATTCTATTCTATTCTATTCTATTCTATTCTATTCTATTCTATTCTATTCTATTATTCATTCACTCATTTTCTCGTCGGCTTAGTCCCTTTATTAATCTGGGGTCGCCACAGCGGAATAAACAGCCAACTTATCCAGCAAGTTTTTACGCAGCGGATGCACTTGCAGCCGCGACCCATCTCTGGGAAACCTATTCTATTCTATTCTATTCTATTCTATTCTATTCTATTCTATTCTATTCTATTCTATTCTATTCTATTCTATTCTTTTCTAAGAATGGGATAGCTTGAAAAATCATCTATTTCATGTTTCCTTAAAGTCTCTGTACTCTGAGCTTTCTTTATCCAAACCAGTGTCTGAGATTTCGTAATGCTAGCACATATGTGTCTACTAAATAATATATGAAAATAGATGTGCTTTTTTACTCTCTTATTAAGGTTTTAAACAAAGTTATTGAAGAAAAAAACTCATGAAACATCAAACTCTATGACAGCGATACTATTTATCCTGCTTATTATCCATCTGCTTAACAGTAATTTACCTCATACTTTACTGAGATTCAGCTGTTGCTGGCAGCGGCTGCAGTTAAAGCCGTTTAAACCCTATTAATCAAGATCAGCGTTTGTGTTTTCACAGCATGTGGAGTGCGATGTGTCCTGTCACCACGACCCTCCAACTGCTCCACATCATCACCCCATAAAGATGAGAAAGACAGGCCTCATTCCACTTCTGCTCGAGGACAGCAGCTCAGTAGAGACTGTGCTAAAACAGAGAGTGAGCTGAAGGTATTGGAAACATACGTAGGGATAAAAAGAACAGAGAAGAGAGAGAGGGCAAGAAGCAGTGTATACAGACAGAGAGTCCCTCTGGATTTAACCCCCAGGCCTTCCACTGCCCCTCTGGGAATGGGGCGACGAGCACCAGGTACTGCTATAAACCCAGCTGGCACCTTGACATTAAAAATGATATCAAAAAAACGTCAAATGTCAAAAATACTAATTGATTTGATGTCTATTGACTACCTTTGTCAAAACAACATCAAATTGACATCTAACATTTACGGAAGTCCTAAGAGGCCATGCATGCAAATATTTTTCTCTCATGTTTTCTAGTGATCACTACTTAATTTTCTCGTGATCGAGACATAACAAAAAATAGTTTTCTCATTATCACAACTTAACTTTTTTGCTTTTATTTATTTATGTATTCATTATTTTTATAAGTTTAAATTTAATACCTGCCCAGTGTATCATTGAAACATGTGAAATGAACACTCAAGCCTTTTAAACAGAATCTTCCTCATGTAACCTAATGATTGTGTATGATAAAGGTGAAACACAAGTGTTTTGCTAAGAGCAGCAGTTAAGTCTGTATTTCGAGACGTGCATTCATGCAACACATTAATAGTGTTCAGAAAAACCATAATATGAGCACAAACACACATGCTCATAATTATTGTGCATTCATATGATTATATATCATTATTTACAATAATATACCACAACTGTTACCATTTTAGAGAGCAAGTTTTAGATGACACAAAATAAGTTCTAGATGGCACAAAATAAGTTGCTGAATGTATGAATGGGATAACATGTCCTTTCCGCAGGTTATTTAAAATTACTTTGAAAAAGTAAATCCCTGGGCGATGCAGTGGTGCAGTAGGTAGTGCTGAAGGTTGCTGGTTCGAGCCTTGGCAGGGTCAGTTGGCATTTCTGTGTAAAGTTTGCATGTTCTTCCTGCATTTGCATGAGTTTCTTCAGGGTGCTCCAGTTTACCCCACAGTTCAAAGACATGTGGTACAGGTGAATTGTGTAAGAAGTGTATGAGTGTGTATGGATGTTTCCCAGAGATGGGTTGCAGCTAGAAGGGCATCCGCTGCATAAAACTTGCTGGTTAAGTTGGCAATTCATTCCGCTGTGGCGACCCCTGATTAATAAAGGGACTAAGCTGACTAAAAATGAATGAATATATGAGCAAATCCCTGGAAATAACAGAATATGAAGTTACTGTATGCGTGTCTAGGACATCTTCTTAGAATAAGCAGAAAAAGGTAGATTGTAAACTCAAGAAATGTTTTGTTCTTTATCAATATAATAAAATAATCGTTTTGTCAAGATAACAAGAAAAATAAGTTGTGATAATAGCCCCTGTGACTATGGGAACCAATAGCAGAGTGTTAAAAGTGACAAAGCAATGTTGAGGTTGATGTGACAGTTAAAACAAAAATTGGGATAAAAAATATCACAGATTTTTTATAGTGTAGATCTGACCCTTAAAAAAATGTTCATTACATTTAAATTATGTAACCTATTAAATAAAAGGTAATAGTATCTGACCTGAATATCAGATACCCATCAGATATCTGAATATCTGACCACAAATGAGAAGATAATGCTCCAAAAACACCAACAGAAATGAATTACTAGTAAGATTCAAATGTTTTTCATTGAGCCAAGACATACTGAGAGTTCAATAAGTACACCGTGTGAAACAAGTGTAATTATTGACATGGTAACATGGATTGAATAAATTGTTTATGTCAGCTTAAGTCTTGGTTATAAGCTAGCAGAAGAATGTTGCTGCAATGTTAATAGTGTAGTGTAGAGTAAATAGTGTCAAAGGCTGACAAGACACAAAACAGCAAGACAGCAAATTTAAAGTTTGTGTGAAATGAAAATGTACAGTGTTTACTTTGTTTTAGGGTGAACAATGAATCTGTGCAAGTTAATTACCTGAAAAAAGTTTTGGTGATCTTCAAATCACAGTCTGACCATATGCTTTTGTGTCTTGAGTGGTGGTCCTTCTCTGTTGATATTAGTTTGATGGCTTCAGCCAAAACATTCTTGACCACATCTCACTTCCTGTTTGCAGTTTGCTATGAGGGAATGATGCACAAAAAGAAAGCCCCGTCTCCCACTGAAAAATTAGTTTCAATTGGGCGTACATCAATACTCAAATAAAAGTCTCTGTAACTTCTGGTTCATGCAGATTTTAAGGATCACTCTCACAGTCCCTTTCTCACAAACTAATTTTCAATAATTTCATTCTTTATGAAGAAACTCCAATGTGCGAGATTATCTGGAGAAGAAAAGATGACTACAAAGAAACATCTCAACATTGTACAGAGGACCTTAGTCTAACTCCAACATTACATCTCTATCTGCCCTCATCCTACCAGCCCCATGAGCAGGGAGAAGACGGAGGAGCTGTAGAGGATAATAGGTAAGACTATCTAAAACCTCACTGATAGATCATGTCACATTCCAAGAAGACTATATGGGCGTACTCGCACTATGTACAGTTGCCTTGAACTGGGCAGAAGGACACTTGCCTGAACCGTGCCTGAGCCCTGTAATGGTCTGAGTGGTAATCGAACCAGGGTCTACGGTGTGGTTAGCAGTAGTTCTTACTACATGAGCTAAGTCAGCGACTTCTGGCCCAAGAGCAGAAAAGGAACAAAAAAAGTTATTCCACAACGTATGAATTCCAAAAATAATACGTCTTTACTGAAGAAAAATTGACATAAAGGAGAGACAAAATCTCTCTACAGCCAGGATTGAAAAAGTAGAACAAAATAGGAAAGCCGAGCTTCTCAAAATACATACAAAACTAAATAGACATGAGGGTCTCAGAACAATTAAATAAGAACATCAAGCAAAAAACCTAGAGAACAACTTAACTGTACATTGGACGAGGCATAAGAGGTAGGGTTCAGGACTGAACACAGAGCAGGATACAAAGCAGTCTTATATAGAGCAAAGAACAGGTGGTGGTGCTTAGGTTGATTAGAGGGGAGTTTAAAGGAACAAGAGTCACTGCCGCCGTCCAATGTTGAGGAGTATAGGGCAATATTGCTGCGCCCCCTGATGGCTTGGAGGATGTGATAAAGTGCTGAGATATTACAAGCATGATTCAGAGCACTCGCACTTCTCAAACGATTCGGGAAACGGGCCTTGGCACGATTTGGATAGCCAGTGTGAGTGCGCCCCATAACACCATTGTTAAAAAAGGGCAGGGGGTAAAAGTAAAAGTCTAAAAAACAGTGAGAGCAAAAAAAAAACAAAAAAAAACTACTCATGTAGCTAGTTTCTAGTTACTTAAAACCGCATGTTTTAATCTACTTGACTTAGCTTTCACACATCTCTTTCCTGTGTGATGACCACAATAACCTCACAAAACCTGTCATTTACATTAACACTGTTTATCTGTCCTTGTTAACTTGCTCAGATCTTGCTTGGCTTCTGCCATCATCTTCAAACTACAGGCGTGACCCATGCATGCTCTAAATGACAGAAGGAGATCCACTTCTATAGCAGCCTCTCGCAAAACAAACTCTCCAGTGCGGCAAGATTTGTGAACAAGTCATATGAACTTATTAGACTTAAAAATCTCTTTTTAAAAGTAAAGTTTTTTTCCCTAAAATTTAGTTTAGTAAGAATAAAAGCACCCAAAATTATACTTAAATGAATGTAATTTGTTATTACCCACATATAGCTTGTATTTCAAATTGAAAACAATCATGGCCACCATATTGTATAGTGTCATTCCAAACCGAAGTACTGGACACTTTGAAGGGCTCAAAAATGGTACATTTGACACACTCAGTGGCGGGTTTAGTCATGGGCAATATGGGCATTCACCCAGGGTGGCATCTTCTTCCTCCAGGAACGTGGTTGTGAAACACTGGATTGGGGCACAGGGATGAGCCCTTCCAAATGGAGCAGACACCATGTTAATACTAGCTTTAATAATATAGTAGTATATGCAACCGGCCCCTGCTCTCTTGAACATGCAGCAATATGGAAGGGTGAGAATGGGCTGAGGGTAAAGCCATTGCACAGTAAAAGCTACTTAAAATGAAATAGATGGCTTACATATTTGGATGCCAAAAGTAACGGACTCATTCATCCATCCTCTTGAACGGTTAATGAGGATACTTGAGTGATATCACGAGTCCTCTGTGCCACTGAGGCAGCGTTAAGTGACATTCTGGCCTGTGTGGTTTGTATCTGGCATTCAGCTGGCGAAAGTATGATGTTCTCACTTCCATGGAAACTCACAGTAGAGCAGGCCAGACTTATTGAACTCATGCTAGACATGGCCTTAACCTGATGCTCACAGATGAAGTAAATTTATCTACATGACTGCACTCAAAGACATTACTAAGCTACAAGGTTGTTGTTAAGGTAGGAACATTGTCTCAGCCCCAGTGGTGAGAGGGTCCAATATGATAAGCTTATTCACTTAGAAGGGGGGCAGTCTTAATGCACCCCGGTCCCATCATGAGCTGTGGTAAATTTCAGACAAATCTCAACATACTGAAAACACTTCTAATATATTGATGTATTAATTTGCATTTGAATGATTCTGGGAATGTTATAGTAAATCTATGTGCAAAATGATTAGTTTTGTAGAGAGTCCACCAAAAGGTCCATCTGTCATCTCTCTTTTTAAAATCTGAGCCCATATCTTGAGTGTGAAAGTTAGTTTAATATGATTTCACAAAGTAGAACATGTTCCTGGATCTACTTCTTGTTGATCATGGAACAACATTCCAATCAATCAATCAGATTTGAGAGATATGTTTACATGTAATGTCAAGTTTACGCCTAAAACAACAGCAAGTAGGGGCTTCTGCATAATTTTTATTTACTTTATTCTCCCTCAGATTTTAGGCACAAGTTATATTTATAGTAGGAATAGATAGGGAATAAGGTCAAGAAAATATTTTGGACATAAATGTTGTACCTGGATCAGTAAGAAAAGCAAAGTCGTGACATGTGGCTAAATTTGATGACCCATACTTAGAATTTGGGCTCTGCGTTTAACTCATCTATGTGCACTCAAACAGCAGTGAACACACATACAGTGTGAACACACGACTCGAGCAGGGAGCAGCCATTCAATCATTTCCAAGGCACCAAAATGCCCAAAAAAATGCCTTGCTTAACAATCTCACCTCAGCTTTGTTATTGAGGGTGGAATAGATTGCTGGTTATTTACTCCCCTATAATCTCAACAATCTCTATAAGGCTTGAACCTGCAAATGTTGGATCTCTAAGCATTATGGCTGCCCTAAACAGACCCACAAACAGTGTTTATCCAAGAGCATGTCAGACCAGAAGCATAATATAACTGATGATCTTTGTTTCCACTCCAGTCCCGCCAGCTTTTCAATCATATTTAAATAAGGAGACTGAACAGGCCACTCAAGAGCATTCTAGGACATATTCCTAAATCTGATTTTGGTCAATTTGGGTGTGTATTTGAGGCCTGCTGCAAAAAGTCAGTTAAAAGACAGAACTGTTGGGAATGATTCAATATCCTTTTTGTTGAACCCAGCAGTTTGCATCAACCATTTATCTAGTAAAGAACCATACACAGTGACTTTATTGAAAAGTCATAAAATCTTCAAAATTTTATTTTATTTAAAAATGTTTTTTTTACTTTTTTCAAATTTCTAAAACAATCGAATTCCGAATAGTTAAAATGTACAGAACAGTTGCATTACCCATAATGCTCTACAGACGTTTTGCCAATAAGACAGTCGCAAAAGGCAAAGCGTGACAAAAATATCTTTGGCTCCATCTACTCTCATGAACCATTACACATTTTATATAGATAAGACCTCAACTTTTAAGTAAACTTAACTTAAGTAAACATTATGGAGTTTACATAACTTATGATGACCTATCTGAAACTGAATAGCACTAAAACTAAAACTGAGCTTATGCTTTTTTGTGCAAATGCTGCAACTCAAAAGGCCAATTACACTCAACAACGACTTTATTAGATACACCTGTTTAACTGCTCATTAACGCAAATTTCTAATCAGCCAATCATATGGGAGCAACTCAATGCATTTAGGCATATAGACATGGTCAATACGATCTTCTGCAGATCAAATCAAGCATCAGTATGGGGAAGAAAGGGGATTTAAGTGACTTTGAACGTGACATGGTTGCTTGTGCCAGAAGGGGTGGTCTGAGTATTTCAGAAACTGCTGATCTACTGGGATTTTCACGCACAACCATCTCTAGGGTTTACAGAGAATGGTCTGAAAAGAGGAAATATCCATTAAGTGGCAGTTCTGTGGCCGCAAATGCCTTGTTGATTCCAGAGGTCACAAGAGAATGGCCAGACTGGTTCAAGTTGATAGAAAGGCAACAGTAACTTGAGTAACCACTTGTTACAACCGAGGTATGCAAAATAGCATCTCGGAATGTACAACATGTCCAACCTTAAGGCGGATGGGCTACAACAGCAGAAAACCACACCAGGTGCCTCTCCTGTCAGCTAGGAACAGGAAACTGAGACTACAATTAACACAGGCTCACCAAAATTGCACAATAGAAGATTGGAAAATGTAGACTGGTCTGATGAGTCTCAATTTCTGCTGCGACATTCGAATGGTAGGGTCAGAATTTAGAGTCAACAACATGAAAGCATGGATCAATCCTGCCTTGTATCAACACTTCAGGTTAGTGGTGGTGCATCGTTAGCATCAGGTAACACCACAACCTACCTGAGTATTGTTGCTGACCATATCTATTCCTTTATGACCACATGTACCTATCTTCTGTTGGCTACTTCCAGCAGAATAATACGCCATGTCATAAAGCGCGAATCATCTCAGACTGGTTTCTTGAACATGACCATGAATTCGCTGTACTCGAATGGACATCACAGTCACCAAATCTCATTCCAACAGAGCACCTTTGGAATGTGGTGGAATGGAAGATTCGCATCATGGATGTGCAGCCGACAAATCTGCAGCAACTGTGTGATGCTTGCATGTCAATATGGAGCAAAATCTCTCAGGAATATTTCCAGAACCTTGTTAAATCTATGCAATGAATGATTAAGGTGGTTCTGAAGGCAAAAGTGGGTTTAGTAATGTGTACCTAATAAAGTGGCTGGTGAGTGTACAGTATATTAGCTAGGTTGTCGGTTTTAATTTTGCTACTCCCCACTTCACAGCTACAGAACATTGGTGTCATCTTTGTTCTCTGACTAACATTTGATGCACAGATAAAATGTATCTAAAAATTACCTTTTTTTACTCTCAATTTGAATCCATAAAGAAAGACTGATTGCCTCTTGGTTAACAACTAGTTGATCAAACTAGTACTTAAGACAATGCTATGTTTATGCAGCTGGCCTCAGGGTCTAAAACTTTTTGATCTTGTCAAAGATTGACCACTTCCAGACATAGTTGAAAACGCATTAGATCAGATTCATAGCATAAATGCTTATGTGGTTAAACAATGCATGTGCAACAATGTTCCAACATTTTTGAGGAACAGTGATGACAGGCTAGATCGGTTCTAAAACAAAAACATAGTACTGTGGTAGTTAGGTTGCAGTATTGTTTACACGCCTGCAAAAGTGATGTAGTACATGACAAAATTGGAGGAAAGGGTCTTGACAATCTGAACACAAGTGGTCACAAGAGACACATTTGAATGTTTGTTAATACCAGGTGGAAACAGAGCCAACAAAGAGAAGCATTTAAGCCATTTTTTTTTTGGTTTGAATTAAGTCCATGAACTGTAATACAGCTAATCTCTAATCTACTCATGTTACAATTATTTTCATTTTGACAACTACAAAGTTTTCAGTTTCCCATGGCTACCCAGATCACTGCATGCGTTTCAATATCTTAGTATCATAGCAGCTGTAATCCAGCTGTAGGTCAGGCTGCAAATATCATTTCACATTTGGTATTTGCAGGTTTCGCTTATGTTCCAGACTAGCAAAACTCTGTTCTCTGAACATAGGTCTCTGGGGTCTAACAATCAAGAAGGGATTTCTGGTTTACTTAGCCTTAGGATGTGGTCACTCTTTATGACTTTTGGACATCTGAAACCACGTACTTTTAAAGGTAATATGCTGTAACATTATTTCGCCCTACAGGCAAACAGTCCTTTAATCTGCAAACAAATATGTAAACTTTATAGCCCACATGTGTTGCATGTTACTTGGCTAAAAGTTTGTTTTAGGTTACATAAAAAGATATGATGTAAACCACAATGTTATAAAACGAATAGTTTCGGTCCCTTATTCTGATTGGTTAAACTATGTTCAAAGCCAGCTCAACAGAGACACTGATCCTCAGTATATTACATTTGTGCTACTGCAGTTTGTTATATTATTTAATACAGCAAGATCAATAGTTTATTACTAGTTTAATGGTGTTAGGCATCCTTCTTTCATCTTTAAAAGGGTCATGACATCCAGTTTGCCTTAATGTTTCACATGCCATACACTGTAAAACCCAATAAGTTAAAGAGCCCCTATATTGCATTATAGAAGGTCATATTTTGATTTTGGGGGTCTCCAACAACAGTCTGATATGCAAACACTTTCCCTGGCTTATAATATGCGTTTATTTTTACATAATTATCCCAGCGACTTCCATATGATTCGTTCAGCGATTCATTTGTTCCCAAATCCCTCCTTAGCCTAATGCTAATCTGTGCTGATTGGTCCGATGACCCAGTCAGTTGCAATAGGTTGACTGCATTCAGCGCGAGACAGATACTACATCCCAATTTGCATACTTATACTACACCCTTAAAGTATATACTTTTTTTTGTGAAGGAAAAGTTTATACTTTCGAGTGTGCAACAGAAGAGTATGCAATCTTTGGGACATATTACTTCCTCTTTAACAGATCGTTGTGTTGCTTAGTTATGCCCCCTGTCAATCATCCACACACCATCCACATTTCTGTCATATTTAATTTCCTACCTTACGGGAGAAGCAGCAGCAGGTTAATCTCCCATGTATGAGTCTTTCATGCAGAGAAATCTCCTCAGGCCTTTGGGTAATTCTCATTCAGACGTTCAGAAATCCAAACACATTTTTTTACAAGTTCAGTATTGTTGTTGCAGATGCAATATAACATATATAATGTGATTTAAATATTCTCCAGTGGGCTAGATATTGACTAACAGTCATTCAAACATCTTTTATGAAGCCTCTCTACTTGACAGTTGGTCTCGCGCATCCATCATGTTTGTAGTTTATTTACACTTTTCACACGTGCTTGTAGTTCTAATCACATTCCATTGCGCAATGTATTGTGGGCAATATCAGCAGTTAGAGTATGGACACTTCTACACTTAAATTATTTACCGGAAATAGCAAACGATTCAGGAACCTCTTGCATACTCTTTTCAACATACTATGGTTTGGGACATACTAATTCTAGTTTCAAATATTATTTAGGATGCATAGTATGCAGATTGGGACGCAGCAAGAGAGAATTGCCCACCACAGCTTATTAACAGTTTTGAAGAAGTCAAAGTGTATATGTGTGAGCCCAATGCAGGAGTGCATTAAAGCAATGCAGTTAAACACCAGCATATTGCTCTATATTGCTAATTCGTACGAATTTGTACGAGTTCAGTCGTACGAAATGATACGATTTTAAAAAGGAGGCGTGGCACCTTACCCCACCCCTAACCCCAACCGTCATTGGGGGATGTGCAAATCGTACTAAATTGTACGAATTAGATCGTACGAATTCATACGAATTAGCCACTAAATGAAAAAGTTACGAATTGCCGTGAGATTGTGTTGGAACAGCTGATGATGGCCATAGCAATGACAAACGACAGAGGGTCATGATCACGTGCGCATTTAAATCCAGTGTTTTTCCAGTGTTACAGTGTTTGTGGGCGGGGGTTTCAATTTTCCCGGGTCTGCGCCTGCAACAAATGGGCGGGGCTTAAGTTCCATATCAACATCACACCGACATGGATAAAGATTTGTTACCCTGATGATTGCTTTAAACTACTCTAATTGGACTTTTTTATAGAAGAATCAACAGTTTTAAACATAACACACTTTTAGATTTAAGCCTTAGCTGGATATTTCACTTCACTTAGAGCTGTTACACACTGCATAGGAGGTCATTTTCAAAAACCCATAATAGGGGCTCTTTAAGGTAAGTCAAACCATTTGAGGTTGAAGTAATAAAGAGACTGAAGAGAAACATAACTGCACATTCAGTCTCTCAAAATTTCAGCAGAGGATGATTAAATAACTAGACAAACTGTATCAAAAGCTTCAATTATTACTAACTTTCTTGAGGTTTTTCTTTTGTCAGACGTCTACTGAAATTCATTGAAAATAGTATTTTATATTTCAAATTTAATATAATACAGTGGTTCCTTTACAGGGCTCTTTGACATCATTTCTCATGTCATTTTTTGGCTTGCTGTTATGGCAAGCATAACACACACACACACTAAACAGCAATATTAATGACTAACTATATTTTGAATATTCAAATTCTGGGGTGAAAATTTAAAGAGTCACCATGATATATGACGTTTGTGTCACAATACAATAATGTTGCAAAATAAATTCTGTGATATATTGCAATTGATTACTTTTTTTATTTTTAACCTTACAAGTTATGTTACCAAAGGAAAACTTCAACAACATTTTTCAGTTTGTTTATCACACTTTAATTTTATTTCTGCAATGCAAAATTGGATTGTCAAGCAGAAAAAACTGACCGACACTTTAATAAAAGCCGGCCAAATATGTTGTATGTGTACAAGTTAGGATTATCAAATTTGTTCCTGTTATGCTTAATAGCAGAATATTGAGATATTGTTTTGAGAAATTGTTTTAACCTTATTTGAAAGTCAAGTTTACATACTATAAGATTATTATGCCTCTGAAAAAGCTCAGATGATGGTGTCAAGGTTTTGGAAGTTTCTGATTGGAGGCACATCTGTAGAATAGTTTTCAAGGAAAACCTCAAACATACTGCTTCATTGTGTGACAACAACAAGCCAGAATCAACAAAAAAGCCAGATTAAAATTAGCTAAATTACACTGAAAAAAAAAGACTAATTTTTGGAGACATGTACTGTGGTCTGATGGAACTAAGATTGAGCTGGCCATAATGACCAGTGTTACATTTGGAGGACAAAGGGGAAAGCTTACAAGCCTAGGAACACTATCCCAACTGTGAAGTATGGGGGTGGCAGCATCATGTTGTGGGGCTGTTTTGCTGCAGGAGGGACTGGTCCACTTCACAGCATAGATGGCATCATGAAGAAAGAACATTAACTCTAAAGACATCAGCCAGGAAATAAAAACTTGGCCACAAATGGGTCTTCCAAACAGACCATGACCCTAATCATACTGCCAAATTAGTTAAAATTTGCTTTAAGGTCAACAGAGTGAATGTTTTGGAGTGGCCATCACAAAGCCCTGACATCAATCCAATAGAAAATTTGTAGGTAGAGTTGAAAAAGCCTGTGCGAGCAAATCTGACTCCGTTACACCAATTCTGTCTGGAGGAATGGTTCAAAATTCCTTCAAACTATTTTGAGAAGCTTGTGGAAGGACACCCAAAACATTTGACCAAAGTTATACAGTTTAAAAGCAAAGCTAAAAAATTCCAAAGAAATAGATGTAAACTTTTGACTGTCTAGAAATTAATAAAAAATTCTCAAAAAAATAAAAACAATTCTCATTATTCTGGCATTTAGCAAATATAAATCATTTAGGTAATCCTAATGAACCTAAAATAGTAAACGTTAGTATGATTTACCATCAGACATTTTTTTTTTAAATGCCTATGTTCCTTTTTTTTAGTGTATGCAAACTTCTTGTTTCAACTGTATGAAGTATTTAGTACTAATTTACTGCATGCTAAAGGTGAATCCACTATTTATCCACCATATACAAACTAAATAAACCAGTGGTTCTCAAACTGTGGTACGTGTACCACTAGTGGTACGCAGGCTTCCTTCTAGTGGTACACGAAGGAATGGTGTATGTCATGTACATGCTACACACATTTAAAAATGTATCAAAAAGGATGTATATAATATGCCATATATGACATAAAGCCTATATTTCTGAGGGAATCTGCCACGTTTTTTTAACTGTGCAGATTTGTAGCTGCTTTACTAGGCCAACTACGCTATTGTATTTCAATACTGCTCATTTTGGTGGTACTTGGAGAGACAATTTTTTTCTGAGGTGGTACTTGAAAAAAGTTTAAGAACCACTGAAATAAACAAAATCACAATGGAGTGTCGTGTTACGAAATGGCGTCTGTTATTATAGTATTGCTGTCAGTAACTATTTTTTATGCAGAATGGTGGCATTTAATGATAAAATGTTATGATGAAAACATATTAATACATATATTTTTCCTTGGGAATTGTTTATTGTTTGGTAATATTTTGAGAAAAAATTAACAATCACCCATGAAGCCATGGTTGACAGGCAATCTACTGTAAACCACAGCTTCCTGGGACTTGTTGCTTTATCCTACCTTTATTCCATCCTTCAAGTGTTGACAATTCGTTTTTCTTAAAAGCGACTCAAAGGAGCAAGACACCATGGTGGATCTCAAGGAGCATGACATCACCATGGAGAGCCAAAAACAAGACGTAACCATCAACAAAACTCAAGATGAAAGACAAACTGAGTTCACAGATGTCACACAATATGATATCACGGATACCGGTCTGAATGACAAACAAAAACCAGAAGAAACCTTCGAGAATGACACGATGCGAGAAATTCGCCAACAAGATGACAACAATCAACAAGAAATGCATTGTCACATTGAAAGATTTTTTAACATCGTAGATGACAAGCAGGAATATGACATCACAGAGAAAACCGAAGGCATATTTAGAAGAACCAAATCCAACAGAAGTTCGTTTTCCAGGCTAACAAGCAAAACACGTTATCCAGCCACAGCTACAGCGCTAACATTCCCATCAATCCTGACAGACAGATATCCCTCTCCGACCGTTAGCCTCCTGCCGTCATTTTATGGCACTTCGTTTGGCTATCGCATCAGAACGATGTCTGAAAACTCCAAAACAAGGACCAGAAAACCCCGCGATGACAACCGACTTGCACAGTCGACGAATGACATGCGACATTCCATTGAAATAAAAGGAAATCCCTGCTTATTAAAAACAAGGGCAGGACTGGCAGTCGGCCCCCACCCTGAAATAATGAGCATAGAGAGGGGGTCCCGAACTCGTAAAATGAAAACCACCAAGACGTTTTTGTCGGGGCCAAAGGGGCCCCAAGAGACTAAGACAGTGTGTGAGCAGCACAGTCCTGAGAACAGGTGGAGAGGCCAGGATTAAGTCTGACGGCACAATTGTGTGTGGCCTTTTATGCCTTTTCATTAGAGATTGACTGAATTAAAGCAGTTCACACAGGCATGTTAGACCACTCAGACGTGTTATGGCTTTGGGAACAAGGGTTTTGGCACCAGCTGGAACATTTTCTTGTTCAATTAAAGGCCAGCAAAGAGGAATAGTAGACTTTTTATGTTTTTGACTCCCATCTGGTCTTTCTCATTGAGTGTTGGTTTAGGTATGTTGACGTAGATGATTATAAATATTTCATGATTCAATCCTTGCAGAATTTTGGTGCATTTTTCTGTTTCTCTGACTTTATGCAAAAGTAATAGATCATCTAAATTATGTAACATCCAAAAACCATGTCTGGTGACTGTTTTTTAGCAATAGGGATTGACGAGTTTATGAAGGTTAAAAGTGATTTTTAAGCCATACAGCATGTGATTTTGAAAATAACAGACACATTATAATGAGATAAAGTGCAAAATAAAAGATCAGCTAAACTCTTGCATATTTATTTTACCGTTATTTAACCAGGAAGTCTCACTGAGATTTAAAATCTCTTTTACAACACAAAAATAAATAAAATAAAAAGTAAATAAATAAAATACATAAACGCTACAACATAACATAACATAACATAACATAACATAACATAACATAAAAACAGCATTTCATCAGTCCTCTCAACAAAAACAATTACATTCTTTCAATACCGCTTTTTATAATGGCTTTAAAGTCACTGAAAGACACAAAAAAGTATTTTTGCAAATTATTCCATGCCCAAGGTGTGCAATAAGAAAATGCAGTTTTACCCAGCTCTCGAGGTATATTGAAAAGCAAACACTTGGAAGAGGATAGCTGGTAATTCCCAGAGCTAAGACACAAGAAAATAAAAAAAATTAAGATAAGCTGCAAGTTTACCTACACTGTAAAAAAGATCCGTTATTTTATTTTATTTATTTATTTATTTATTTTTGGCAGGTGGGGTGCCAGAAAAAAAGTGATATAACGACTGTCTGAAATTTACTCTAAAACAACAGACGTTAAATTACAGAAATTTACCGAAAATTTTTATTTTATGAAATTTCTGAAATTTAACCATTATTGTTTTACAGTAAATTTCTGTAATTTAACGGCCGTTGTTTTAAGGTAACTTATTTAGTAAATTTATGTAATCTAACAGTGTTGTTTTACAGTAAATTTCTGTAATTTAACAGCTGTTGTTTTACAGTAAATTTATGTCATTTAAAAGCTGTTATTTTACAGTAAATTTCTGTAATTTTACGGCTGCTGTTTTACAGTAAATTTAAGTAACTTAATGCCCGTTGTTCCACAGTACATTTTTGTAACTTAATGGCCGTTATACAGTAAACATCTGTAATTTAACGGTTGTTGTTTTACTGTAAATTTATGTAACTTAGCTGTCGTTGTTTTACAGTAAATTTCTGTAATTTAATGGTCTTTATTTTATGAAATCTTATTTTAAAAGTAAAATAGCAGATTTTTTAACAGTGTAACATAGCTAGTTTTCTGTGTACAGCTAGTGATGTCCAGCCCACCATCTCATCTAAAATGCATTGATGAGTACGGGATTTTGCAGTAATAAAACGTAGAGAAGCATGACATACAGAATCAAGTCTTGTTAGAAAAGAAGATGCCGTATGCATGCATAATATATCCCCATAATCAAGCATAGATAAAAAAAAAAAGCTTCTACAAGTTTCTTTTTAGAATTTAAAGTAAAATTAGACTTATTTCTAAAATAAAACATAAGTTTCTTTTTTTTCTTATATTAACTGTTTAAAAGTTTGGTAAAATTTGTATCAGAAATGCTGCATTTTTTTTTTTTTTTAAATAAGCACCAATGTCAGGGCATGAAAAAAAATCCAAAGCAGCCCCCATATCGTTCGAGGTTACTAAGTAACCCTTCGTTCCCCGAGGAGGGGAACGGAAGCACTATAAGTGGATTTGATTGTAAAATCCACGCATTGGGAGGTTCGGTTCAGAAGCTACTCGTCTGAAAGAGTATTGAACGGGCCAATTAAGAATGAATTGGCAGCGCAAGCCTGCGCAGGTGAGCGGCATAAGCAATCAACTGAGTATATAAGCTCACCTGGCGCCAGCAGACGCTATCCTTTTTAAGCTGAAGAGACTTTCAACAGCTAAGGGACAGTCATTATGGCGACGGAGTATAGTGCTTCCGTTCCCCTCCTCGGGGAACGAAGGGTTACTTAGTAACCTCGAACGTTCCCCTTCGGGGGGAACTTCAGCACTATAAGTGGATTTGATTGTAAAATCCACGCATTGGGAGCCCATTGAAAGCGCCATAATGACTGCACCTTACCAACACCCCCGATGAGGAGATAGTCAAGCAAGCGTGACGCACCCACATCATGGGGGGCGCGGTCCTCCAACGTGTCCCTGGCCCTAATTTATCCTACTTCAACAGAAGTTTTACGGATTTATATATATTTTTTGGGAAGTCGTGAGCATCTAGATAATTCTAGGAAATACGACAGTACGTTGGGAAGCGTGCAATCCCGATAGGGAGGACGCTGCGGAGGCCATCCGTTACCCAAGGGGGGATAGATGGCAGAATTTACATATGGACTAGCCCTAAAAAAGGGGGAGTTCGCATAGCAAAAGAGTGGTTAGCGGGGAGGGAAGACACAGGTCCGCCCAGGGGGGGGACTTAACCGTGGCGGAATAAGCATATGGGATCGCCTAGTGGGGATCGCGCATAGCAGGCACCTTTACCCAAAACGCGGGCTGACCAGCGGGCAGACCTACAACGTAGTGGGCCAGCAAGTGACTCCTCCGCTGAGTCAGTGCTGGGGGCCACGGAGGAATCTGCAGGGCTCACCTGACGGGGAACTTTACTGACAGATAAAAAGGCGCACGTATCTCCGTGTTAGGGAAAATGGCGCAGCAAGCGTGTTTCAACACCCTACCGAATTGTTTCCTCAATCACCAAGGGTTACCTAATACCCTTGAGGAAAACCGGCTCCACTCGCAGATTGTAAAACCTTGCAAATGTGTTGGGTGTCACCCAGCCCGCAGCTCTACAGAAGTCTGTTAGAGGGGCGCCGCGTGCGCGCGCTCGAGAGGATGCGAAGCTCCGAGTGGAGTGCGCACGCGCTCTCGGGGGACGCGGCTTATCTCGGCTCTGATAGTGAAAGAAAGGCATCCACAATCTAGTGGGAACTTATTTCGGTACGGCACTTCCCTGCTGCCGACCGCTATAACAGACGAAGAGCTGCTCAGATGATCTAAACTCTGAGTGCGGTCCGGATAATACGCAAAACGCGAACTGGACCATAAGAAGGGCTGGGTCTGCCTCCTCCGAGGGCAGCGCTTGCAGGCTCACTACCTCGTATTAAAACGGAGTGGTAGGAACCTTGGGCACATATCGCGGGCGGGGTCTCAGGACGTGAGAGAAGCCAGCCCAATTACAGGCACGAGTCACTGACCGAAAAATGCCTCCGGGTCCCCGACCCTCTAATCGATATCAACGCGACCAGCAGAGCTGTCTTCAGGGACAGAAAGATACTGAGTCGAGGATCGAAGGGATCTGACGCGGCTTGTGTAGCGAGGGCGAGATCCTAAGAGGGCATGAGAGGGGGCGGGGTGGATTAATTCGCTTAACGCCCCTGAGGAACCGGATGATGAGGTTATGCGTTCCCACGGTGCTGCCAGCCACCGCGTTATGAGAGCGGAGATGGCAGCCACGTAACCTTGAGTGTGGAGGGCGACAGCCTGCTCTCCAACTTCTCTCGGCGTAAAGAAAGCACAACGCTGATCTGGCAAATTACGGGGGTCTTCTCAGCGAGAGACACGCCATTCAGTGAATAGACTCCACGTCAGGGCATAGGCGCGCTCGGGGAGGGGGCTCTAGCCCGAGTGACGGTATTAGCCACCGCGATCGGAGGTTACCTAAGTCTTCCTCGCGTCTAAAATCTCATCAAAGATCGGCGAGGGTGCCAGGTGGTGCCCTGTCCCTGAGAGAGTAGGTGCTCTCTCGAAGGGACTGCCAGGGGAGGGCTATCGCGAGGGAGAGCTCTGACATCCAGGTCCGGTTGAGCCAGAGAGGCGCAACCAGCAACCTGTTCCTCGTCCTCTTCCTGACCTTGCACAGTAACTGCGCGAGCAGGCTCACTGGGGGAAACGCGTATTTGCGCGTGCCCCGAGGCCAGCTGTAAGCCAGTGCATCCGTGCCGAGAGCACTCGGTCAGGGAAAGAACAACTGGCAATGAGCGATCTCGGGGGAAGCAACAGATCGATCTGGGCTTCCCCGAATCGCGCCCATATCAGCTGAACAGACTCGGGGTGGAGTCTCCATTCTCCAGGACGCAAGGCTGCCGTGAGAGCGCATCGGCTGCACGGTTGAGCTTGCCTGAATATGAATGGCGTGCAGCGATTTCAGCCGCGGATGACTCCAGAGGAGCAGACGGCGGGCGAGCTGAGACATGCGGCGAGAGCGCATACCCCCTATACGGCTGATATACGCCACCGCCACCGTACTGTCCGTCCTGACCAGCACGTGTTGCCGCTCCAGCACCGGAAAAAAACGGTGGAGAGCGAGGAACACTGCCAAAAGCTCCAGGCTATATGCCAATGCAACTGGGTACCTTTCCACAGGTCCGCAGCCGCATGCCCGCAACGCACAGCCCCCCAGCCCGTGTTGGAAGTGTCTGCTGAAACGACAACAAGACTGGACGCCTGTTCTAGAGACACCCAGGCCTGTAGGAACGAGGGGTCGCTCCAAGGGCTGAGGGCGCGGCGACACAGCGCAGTAACAGAGACTCGGTGTGCGCGCGCGTGCCATGCGCGTCTGGGGACTCGATCGTGAAGCCAGTGCTGAAGTGGTCTCATATAGAATAATCCGAGCGGCATGAAGCGGCTGCGGATGCCATATGCCCCAGGAGCCTCTGAAATAGTTTCAGTGGGACCACTATTTTACTGTCGAGCTCTCTCAGACAGTACAGCATCAGCTGAGCGCGCTCTCCGGAGAGGCGCGCTGCCATGGTGACCGAGTCCAGCTCCAGCCCGAGAGAAGAGATCCTCTGCACGGAGGCGAGTTTGCTCTTTTCTCGGTTGACCTGAAACCCCCACAGGTGGAAGTGCCAGAGCACTTTGTCTCTGTGCATAATCAACTGCTCCGAGAGAGGGCAAAAATCAGCCAGTCGTAAAGAATTGAGTATGCAGATGCCCGCGAGCCGAAGGGGCGCTGAGGCACCCTCCGCGGGCTTGGTGAGGACCCGCGGAGACAGAGAGAGCCCGAAGGGGAGGGCTTTGTATTGCCAAGCTCGACCTTCAAACGCAAACCGCAGAAACTGTCGGTGGCGAGGAAGAGTGGAGACATGGAAATACGCGTCCATCAGGTCTAATGCTGCAGACCAACCCAGAGGACGAACGCACCGGAGGATGCGCTTCTGCGTGAGCATTCTGAACGGCAGCTTGTGCAGGCAGCGGTTCAAAACGCGCAGATCTAGGATTGGCCGTGAC